AAAGTGAGATTTTCTCTACAAACGTCTCCTTTTATGAGCTTTATTTGCCATCGTAGTCTCACTGTGTTGATTAATTAGATGTAATTTTTGCTCATTCTAGAAGACAAGGTGGAAAAAAAAAACAACTTTAGGAGTTTAAGAATTAACATGACCTGCAATCTGTAGTAATATTTAAACGAAAATGTAATTTATTATTCAAAAAGGATATCTTTCATTTCATTCTTTAAACTGTTTTATAAGGTTAAAAGTTAACGTTCTAACTACAACGTTTAGATAGCGTTTTGAGGATGTTGTCGGGGTCATAGATTACATTCAAACTGACTTTTAAAGACTATTTAAGAAGTTATTGAGGTTTTTTTTGTTTGTTTTTATCTTGTCTTACTGTTGTCACACATTCAATGATGAGCTTCAATAAAACATCTTTATACAATAAATAAATAAACAAACAAACAAACAAACAAACAAACAGCAGCAACGGCACCAGAAGAAAATCCATTTTTAAAAAAAAGTGAAATACTGTAAAATACGTTAAAAGTGAACATAATGAAACAAACAAAGGTGCAACATTTTGCTCTTTTGTCTTCCACAGCCTTTATGAAGAACATTCTGGGAACTAAAAGAAAACGTCACCAGAACGTTGCGGCTCTTTCCCAGAACTTTTTCAGAACCCAGTCCATCTGGCTGTGAGTCTCCCTCTCAGAGACCGTCCTGCTCTCCTCCACGTCGGCCCGCTAGCGTCTGATTGGCATCAGCTTCCTCATCATCTCCAGCACTTTGACATTTACATGACATTTGCTCTGCGCGCGGTGATTTTTCATCGGCGGGATCTCGTCGTGTCGCGATGGAAACACATTCAGCACCGGCTCGCCGCTAATTGTACGTATTCCTCATTCAAAGTGAGGGACGGCTGCAATCGCTCTCATTAAAAGGGCAGAAGACAGAAACAATCGTCGTCATTGCTCAGGTTGCTCATCGAGGACTGTTTGTGGTGTTTCTAATGAATATCTGCAGCCTGTGATGCATCCACGTCGCTGACATCCTGCCTGGAAAAACAGAACAACATGACGAATAGAAAAATAACAGATCAGACTTTACAGTAAAACGACCTCCAGCTGAGCTTCACTGTTAGATCCTGATCCATCCTGCCTCCATGTCGGGGATTATTTAGAATCATAAAGTCACTGCTGCATTCACTGTAATCGCCATCATTGCTCGTGTTTGTGCTGCTTCTGACACCGACTGACCTCGGTTGTGATTCTAGCGTTTAGTTCCTAAAACTTCACCACATGATGCACCGTCGCCCAAAAACAGTCCCAGTCCATTACAGGAACTTTAAAAGAACATCTCAGAGGTCTAGAGGAGCGTTATGCAGGAGTCTCCAACCTTTTTAGTACCACAGACAAGCGAGACAGTTTTCTACAGACCGGTCATCACTCGTATTCCTGTAACTAGACGTCCCTTCTCAGTGTGACCGGTGACGGTGACACCCAAAGTGTTCCTTATGTCCAGTCTACTCCACACCTTCGATGCCAGCCGATAGAGGAACCTGTGATACCTTCTGAACTGCAGCCTCTTAAAACTTCACAGTAAACATCAGTGGCAGCAGCCAGGATCAGTTCCTCACCAACAGTGGAGGGTTTCTTATGTTTAGCCGCTAAATGTGATGCCACTACATTAGCTGATGTGCTGGCTTTCAGTAATACCTCTGACCTTCGAGTTCACAGTTTTGTTTTGTTTTGTTTTTTCCAAAAACTCCAAAGGCTCGTCTCTTAATGCAGGATGTTTGGTCTTTAGTTTTGAAGGCTCCATGGGCTTTGGTTCCCAAAAACAATTATGTCTCCGTATAATTTTACCTCCTCTGATCTACGTGAG